GTGCTCCCTGCAAATAAATCACATTTTAAACTCAATGCTAATACTTCCGAGTACTTAAGTTTTCACACCCCATTTGAACGGTGTTTGATCGTCAATCACGACTGAACACAATTTTTGTTTGGGTGATAGAAGGAAAACTAACAATCTTACGTCAAATACATACATATGTATTGTAATAACAATAATAAATATATTAATTGTTATACAAATAATGATAATACTATTATGAATGAAATCCGAACAATTCGTTATCCGACGACCAACCCTATCATCATCACTGTTTCCTCCAGCACCGGAATGGTTAATTATACGTTTTGTTTTCGAAATTTATGAAAACACAAGACTAATGAAAATAGTCTCCCCCTCAGCCACCGTTTATTCGAACGCGACTCATCATCACGTTACGCAAAAATTAACGCGTAACAGCGAATAATGCGAACGTCAACGCGTCGTCATTGTGCACGTAATAGAACCGCTTTTCCAAAATATTGATCTCGCACGCTGGTGCCGTTGTCACGCCTGCTGCTGCACACAACAATCCCACGTATTATTATGTAAAACCTTCATGTCCGCATATTATAGCAGTCATATGGCTACGATGGAAAAGACGAAGACCACACGCCCTCGCAAAAATGACATCGTATCAATTGTATTTAGAACGGTATCATTATGTTGGAAAACCGACGATGTCAGCCTCAGGCGTTACCGCGGCTACCCTATTCTCATTAACCTAACATGCCACCACCACGGTCTCTGTCTAATAGTGCATCAGTAACTTATCCACCGAAGAATTTCGATTTATTTTGCTTACAGTTTTTTATTGTACCCCACTGAATCCCCTCGTTTTACACTCAAAATAAAAAAAATATTACATATAAATGTATATACGCAAAAATCGTATTATATGTATATGACGTGCTGGCGGAGCACGTTCTATCTAACTCTCTAAATACTTAGTTTTTTTTTTTTATTAGGAAATGCGAAAATTTATCATGAATATTCGTCTTATAACGTTGTTTCCCGTAACGTTGTTAATTTAATTTCATCAATTTACATCAATTTACAGAGAAACGTGTCGTCGTATAAATATACGTTCCCCTCGTATCATTATCGCACGTTCTCATTGCGAAAAAAATCGTCTATACACACACCAACGACATCTTCGCTAACAACATTCCCACATCGCGTTGCGCATTCGGCTTTATTGCGTACAATCTATAAATACACGACGAAGGGAGAAGACGGTGGCGCCGAAACGGATAAAAAAATATTTTTCCTCCTCGTTCTCCGTGGATAATTTACAGTTACAGTTTAGTCAACCGGCTGGATAAACTTTGAAATGTACAAAAAAAAAAAATGAATTGCCGCCAACGAATTACGACGAGTCCGAAACTGGTAACGATGTGCAGCAGGGTGGCCCGTGGGTGGCAGAACGGCGACATACGTTTTTAGTCAAATTAGTCTTTGGCGCCGAAACGCACTCGGCTTCATACTTTCAACTTAGTTTTGAAAGTTCCAAAAGCTGACGATCAATTTTCAGATGAAATACAAACACATGGTGCAACACTACCAATGGCGTGTACTTACCAACCAGGCACTATGGACACACCGGAGGAGTGGTATACTTTAATGGGAACATTTTTAATATGATTAATATCAACCAGTTTTTTTACTTTTCATCTCGAATATTTTCGTTTTTATAACACTTGACTGGCCGAATAGCTCGAACAATTGTAATTAAACGATTGGAACCTTAACTAATTAATTAATAAGTAATAATCCGATAACTGTACGGATTTAGGTATTGTAATGCACTACTATGATAAAAACTACAATCACGAGAATTTTTCCATATTGAAAATTTGAAAATTGCCACTATCGGAATATCGTTATTGGCATATATATTATCTGTACTTCGGAAGCAATCGGATGATTCGCTTCATTTTGTTAAAATAATAATAGTATTTTTAACCTTGTTCTGCACGAGACGCAACTAGGATACGGAAAAGAAAATGAACCGTCTCAATTAAGTTATCTTCACCTTTTTAAATCGCCGTAATACTTACTCGACGGTTTCACGAATTCATATTTTATCGACGACCGTTTCACCAACCTTTTGCCGAGAAACATATTATAAATTAATTATTAAATCGAAAACTGAAGATCGTTAACGATTACTTTGAAATTTAATTTTAGACACAAAGTACCTAAAATTTGGAAACTATATGTGCATTATATTTTATCGGTCATTTAGAACAGCGAACATATATAAATTCGTGCATGCGCACTACCAAAAGGATATATTACGTCATGCATACGCATAAATATTAACAGATACAACTATGTGTGTCGGGTGTGTTGAAAAATGAACGTCATACACGTAGACGTAACAAGGTTAGTCCCCTTCATCATGTCACGTACAATAGATATCGAGGCGTCCGGCCTTTTTCGATTATTTGCAAATGATCTGTGAACGTTAGTTTTTTTTAGGAATTACAGATGTCAAATTTCGCGTGAAAGCGATTTTCATGATTTGGCCTTCCGTTCAAATATTCAAAGTATTATTATTATTATTATTATTTATTATTGTTAAGTATTATTCAAGTTTTCCCAAGTTTTCATGAAAATTGACATATAAATTTGTTAGACGAATAAAATGGTGATATAACCAGGAAATTATTTCATAACATAACGCTTAGCTATTTTTTTCACTATAAAAAACGTACAATTAAATCAATATACCACGTAAAAAGATTTTAAAGACCGTATAAAGATTTGAGATGGTCTTCACCCCTCTCCCTGTTTTACCCTAAATACATACAAACCCTTTCTACATCTTTTGTACCTTAAACGCACTACCGAATACTAAAATCTGGCTTTTGAAATAATTTCTATATATAATTAAACCCTCTCCACTTGACGATTTTTATTTTATTTTAATTTTTTTTTTTGCGGTTTTCCTCCTAATCAGATTGAAAATGCTTTTAACTTCAATTATAATTTCATCGATTGTACAAACTTTCATTCTCAATTTAATGAGGGTTTTTTAAACACGCGTATGTACAGTATAAAAACATACAATATTTAAGGGACACGATATTTGTGTAGATGTTTAAAGTTATGATCACAAGATTAGAAGCATTAGTCATCGTATTATAATTTAATCCTCAATTTCTTGTAACTAAATGAACTCGTGTATGTACTTAATAATACTTATTAAGATTTCTTTTTGTTGCTGTTATATACTCGAACACGTTTATGGCATGTCATTTTATGCGGTACATCGTCTTGGCAATGATTTCTCATTTTGTTAGCTGTAACGGATTTTCTCTTTATATAAGGATTTTGTTGGCAGAGGTTGTGATAGGGACTTAGATATCCTTTGCGTTTTCCGCATAATTCTTCTGGCAGTTTGTAAATGTCCTAAAACGCAAAGATATACTTGGGCCGACTATTAATCTCAGTAATTCCGACCTGCCGCATAGTATACCTAAGAAGATCTCACTGCTTCCTATTCCTCTTTAATGCAAATTAATAAATGACTATGGAGGTTTTCAGTTTTCATAAAATTGTTATTCTCTGTTCGTCTATTATTTCGTTTTAAATAAACATTTATATTCCAAACTTAATTCCTAGAAGGTTTTAAATTCCAATTGAATGATAATATAGCTCCATTTTTGCATTTAAAAAATTTAATAGAGGGAAAAAAGAAACAATTAAAATCATCCTATAAATTCCTCGACAGTATTAAACTGAATATTAAAATAAATAATTTATCCCAATCGACATAACAAATTTCAGTCATTATAAGTTATATAATATTAAATACACGTAGTCTTGATAATATCTTTGTGATGAGATGTAATTAAACTATAAATGCACGGTGCAAACGTTTTATTGTTTAGAATTCATACTATTATGTGAATAATGAAAAGACTAATGTGTAACAGTAACTATTTAGCCCCGATATTTCAAATATTTACTTTTAAAAAGTCTGTCGGCTCAATTTTGTTTTTTATTAATGGACAAAACGGTATTGGCGAGTGTTAAAAATGAACCCATTATTTACGTGAGTCTGTATATATCCTGTATAAAGTGAAGTGAAAGAAACATTATGCATTTTTCATTTCAATTGTAGATCGAATTTTTTTTTTTTTTTTAATATTATTTGTTATGCGATTCCTTTTTTCTTATTCTTGCTAAGAAAAAATCACATTACTAACTCGGTCGTAGAGAAAAAACAACATTGGATCAAAGTTTAAAAACTGCATGATAAATAGCAAAAAGCGTAAATAATAACATTTGACAGGAAGGGTTCAAAACGTTACGGTCATAAACCATATCCGGTTGTTTTTCAGACCGTCAAAATGACTAGTAATAAATATGAATCCTTCTCGTCTTTTTTTGAAATAAATACATATTTTCCAATAAATTTCCTATTTTTATTTGTGAATTTAATAATATATTTCTAGTGAGTCTAAATGTATGGGTGCTTCAATATCATTTAATTATAAAATTATCATGTAAACTTTTAAATTCAATGAAATTATTACATTGATGGACAGTCAATAAATCGCTAGAAAATTATTTACTATCAATGTTATGATGGAGTTACAAAGTATTTATAAAAATCTTTTAATTATAGGTACGTTCAATAGTTATTAGAATTGTTTAAAGTTCTTGACGGATCGTTAGTGAAGTGTATATATTTTTTCACTTCAATATTTTAAAAAAATTATTTTTTGAACGTAAAGTTGTTTTCTTTAGAGTAATTAATAGAATATAAATTAAACTCAGTTTAATTTTAAAGCAACATACTTATTTGAAGCGTAAATAATTGTAGCTAAAAACTACGAAGAATTAACCGTATTTTACGGTGAATTTGATCTTTTACCATTATTTAATATTAAATTACTGCAATGATTGACTATCCAACCCATACTTATATTATGACATATCAATTTACTTTTTTCATTTGATTGAATGTCTTTTTTTTTCAGGAACGATAACCAGCACAGGGCGAATTGGTGAACGACTAAGTATATCTGGCACGAGATTAGACACTGGGAGTCCAGTAAGATTTGGTACCAAGTCCAGCGTAGAATCACTTAGACATACTGCAGGCCGACAAAGTTTACTAGACTTAGTAGGATGTAGATTTGGCGTCAATCGAAAACCACCACAGGTCAGTATATTTGAAATGTAAATTTACATTTTTTTTTTTTTTTTTTTTTTAGTGTATTACAACCATCAAAAATCAGTAGAAGTCATATTTAAATTCCCCCCACTGACTAGTATTACATATATCTCTAATAATACAGTGATCGGGAAACTAAACATGATTTGAAATTTTAATATTGACCATTAGTCAGTTAACAGAAAAAATTAAAGATAATCCTATTAATAATTAAAAGTTTACTAGATATACTTTTTTCGGATTCTTAATATTTTTGGATTTTAAAATTTGGGTGGTTTTTAAAAAAAAAAAATTATCATCTAGGTAGAATTAACAAAACTCAATAATCTTAAAACATATAAAAATAAGTTAAAAGGATTATTCAAATGTTTCTACAAGAAAACTATAGAATTATTATTTGACCATGCATGAATTATAACGGTGTTTTTCATTGACCAAATGCAAGATGAAACTATTCAATGCCATCTCGTGTTATCTGAGTGGTCATTTAATAAACCGTACAGAAAACTCGAATCTTGTTCGAATGAGTTTGGTCGTGTTTTGAGTTCATTAGGTTTAAAAATCGTACATAAATAAACAACGCTTACATCGTATGTAACTACCTAAAAACAATATTGTTTTATTCGCGGTCGAGTTATATTTGACCAACGGAGACAATAATTAAAAAATTATTACAATATAATTAACACAATTATTGTGTTCTGGCGATTAAATCGAATCTAATCTAGAAATCTTTCTGGTTGACGGGCAGGGGAAGGGAATAGAGAACAATAAATGTATTTTAAAATTTTCCAAACCACGTTTTTCTACTGCTACAATGATGTATACGTGCCCGACTAACTTCTATAATATAGTGGACAGCGCAAGGAATTGAAATTAATTCCCTCTGCGGATTGTTTGGATACCCGTTAACCAATCTCCGTATAAAAACATATAGATGCGTTATTATTTATTTATTTCGATTGTATAGGGATGTTTGCATTGGATAGTCGGAACAGGTAGGGTGATAGGAAAAGAAAACGCTTAATGAAAATAGCAAACACGAATCATCATCCGCTAATGATTAGTCGACGTGTATCCTGTACGTTTGTTTGTTCTATAATCACGCGTACTCGTTATTTAACTAAACGCTTACCTTAATCAGTTGAAAGACAAATGTGTTCGTGTTAAGTTATAAAAAAAATAAAAAAAATTTCACGAATAAAAAACCAAGCAATACCAATTGTAATCGTCAGTACTTTTCATAATGTTCAACCAAGTTAGTTCTGCTGTTTAATAGCAGCTATAACGGTATTATACCAAACGGAACCAATAATTTTTTTTCAAATACCACGTGAATAATATAATGCTCTTGGTTTAAGTTTTGATTTTTTTCGTCGAGTCTCGAAAGTCAAAACGTAAGTACATAAGCTGATTACGTTTCTGTGTATAATATTAGTTTTACCATTTGTATATGGGTTAACACATACTCCGTCCTGAACATTAGGTCAGCTTATCACGGTTTTGTAACGAAAGATTATGACGGAAGATTAATTCTATTAATATATATACCTATATAGATAAAAATCGAATATGGTTTAATGATACATGTTTAGATAAAACAAATACGACTTTCTTTAAAATAACAGTATTTAATAATTAAATATGCATTTAACAGTTCAAATAAAATCAACCTAAAAAAAAAAGAAATTAAAAATTTTAATTTAAATCATTCTTGTTCATTTCTTTGAAATTATGAATATTACTGTGACATTTTATGATTGAACAAAACTAAAGAGAATATATTATTGTTATGTTATGATAATAAATATTTTAAATATTCAATGGTTAAAAAAACATTTTATAGAATTTTATAAAAGTTTTTTATATATATTAATAGTGGACTGTATGTTATTCTACCAAATTAATGTTACAACCGTTATATATTATCATAAATATTTCGCTATTTTAAGTAGAGTTTCAAGTATCATCGAGTTGATGTGTTATTTAAATCCAAATGAGAATCTCAGCATCATCATCAAAAGTGGCTGACCTAGAGAAGTTCAAGTGTGAACCTTCTACCCGTATGAAAAAGTACAACGGTGATGACATTTTACAATACCTACTCTTGTGCTTTCGTTAAAAAAAAATTTTGAGTGTACGTTTTAAAGGCATATCAAAATGATAAAGATTTTTAGAATAACTAATTAAAATAAAAAATAGTCTAGAAAGTAGAATCGTTACTAGCAAATGATTACAATTTTGTTCGTCACCTTGATTGAATAGTAGAATTATTTCAAACGCCTGATTTCAAAAATGTTCAAATCAAATTAAATTTTGTTAAATTCGACTGTGAGTGCGATATAAAATCAAATGGTTTAAAACAATATTTTACAAGGAGAATAAAATTAAGGTAAAATTAATATTTAACTATTACATAAACAAAAGTTTCTATTTCTAATTCCCAATTTTTTTTACAACGATACGTATTGTAACTCATGGTTACACTCCATATTGCAAGATCGAAACACAGTTATGTATAGGATAGGAAATTATTCAATTCACGTCTCTTGTGTAATAATACTTACTTTGTATAAAGTAAACATAGTATAAATAATATTAAAATCGTTAGTCATTTCAAAAAATATTTCTAATTTTTGACTTTAAATTTTACTTTGACATGATATGCTGCCGGATTTTGTATCCCTAAAGGTTCTACACGGGGACAACATTTTTTTTATTTAGGAGGCAGAGGGAATTTCTTCTAGACAACATTTTATAATTTGACCAATTAAAAACATAAATTAGAATAGTAGTAAACAATTTTAACTTTTACTTTATAATCATAACTTTTTTTATACTAAATTATTGAAATTAAATTAAATACTTACATAATTATAACTATCATTTACAAAATTAAAGATTACGTAATTTGGATTTGATATTATTCGTTATAAAATTATCAAGGTATACATTAAGTAAACTATACCTACATAGATACTCGATCTTGGTGTATAATCGCGTTTTTCATAGTTGTATATTACTATATATTTCCTATATTAATTGTTATTAATCTATTTTTTTATATTCGTGGGTTGAACAAAAATATAAAATGTACAAAAAAAAAACATAAATATTTAAAGCGGTGTTTCTTAAACTTTTTTATCCTTGGAACCCTTTTTGATGTCCACTTTTATCGTGGAACCCCTAATTTTTTTTAGCTTTTTAGCTTTTTTTAGGATTATTTGCAAATAAATTATAAATATATAATTTATTTATTTATTTATTCATATGGCTTTACACAAATCAACTTTTCTAACAATATCATAACAAACCATAAAATTAAAAGATAATAGTATTAATAACTGGTACATAAAATATAAAGTATAAAATAGTGGTTTAACTTAAGTATAATTGTACTCAAAAATAAAAGAAGTGAGAAAATCATAAATATAGGATATAAGAGTCCTTAATATCTTCATAGGCATATGTCGAGGTTTATAATCCAATTTATTGCTTCCGGAGTTGCCGCCTTCAAATCCTTGGTTGAATTTTCTTTACTGACACTCCATCACGATGTGATTCATGGTTTGATCCCCGTTGCCCCACAATCACAGGCTGGACTGTCTTGGAACCATTTGTGTAAAAGAACGCCACATCGGCCATGACTTGTTCGAAGCCAGTTTAATATAGACCAAGTGCTACGAGGAATATTCATCCCTGGGCCTCCTTCATTAGGGGCAGGTACTAGTTTCTGATTTGGTGCAGAGAAGCTAACCCTCTCTTGACGCCAATCTTCAGCACTATTATATCTTGAACTGATCAGTTTCCTGGCAGTCTCATCAAGTGGACTCCTAGATTTTAATCTTTTTTTCCGGAGTTCGAAGTAGCATCTGATACAGGAGAGATCGTTTTAGGTCTTCAGCTTTCTCAACAGTTTTTACAAGCGCTTCTTTTCTTCATATATTTAGAGATTAAATGTTTGCCAGTACTGGTAACTATTGAAGTGGTGTAGATTTTACAGTTCCACTGATTGTTCTCATAACGCTGTTCAGTTATGTATCTACCTTATTAACGTGCGCACTATTGCAACAAAATTGGGGACCCGAACTCCGCTGTACTGTATACTAAGCCCAGTGCTACTATTCTTTAAGTTTTTGCATCGGTACCTCAACCTGTACCAGCTATTATTTGTACGAGGTTGCACCAAGATCGAATCCTTTTACTTAAGGTACTTAGATGCACTTTAAATGTAAGTGCGCGATTTAACTTAATACCGAAGTATTTTGGGCAGAAATTATGGTTCACTCTTATTTCGTCAAAATCTATTTAAAGTTTAACCTTAGCCTGTCTGTTTTTGAGGTGGAATGCGCACACTTCAGTTTTCGCAGGATTCGGCTTTAAGCGCCATATGCGGAAATATGTGTTCATCACCTTTTGATCATTGGTTAAAGATACACTACCATCCTTTAGATCTTTACTTTGGTAAAGCGATGGTGGGGAAAATGGTGGTAGCCCTCTCTGCATACGTTAGTCCGCTGATATCCAAGTGATCAAGCAAATAACTAATGTATCAACACAACCAATAGGCACTGATATTCAGCAAAAAATCAACACCAAAGTCAGCTATAACCATATAATAATATTATGTTAAAGGTATTTGATTCCAAAAATATGTTGAAATAAAAATAAAAATTATAAAAATTGTGTATATAACATTAATTTAATAATAATTACTTTAATTAGAGTTAAAACTCAATATACATTTTAATGAGATAGATAGATTGATAATTCTTAATATTGGGCTTTTATTAATGAAAGTTGTATTATCATATTAGGTTCGGTATCAAGTCTGTTGCGGTATTTTGTTTTTACTGGTACATAGATGGAAAACCCCGTTTCACACATATAAGTGTTAAAAATAAATAAAAGTGTAGTTGCAAATAGTAAAATTTCCAAAACGGCCTTTTGTGACAGTTTAAGATATTCATCTTTTGAACTAAACCAAAATTCTACTAATGGCATTGATATACATTTTTCTTGTGGCGATGAATCAGATGTCATTTCAATAAAAGTTTCATATTCTATTGCTGACACTGCTGAAGATCATGTATTGACAATAAATGGATTTTTAATCCTCAATTAATTTTTGAATTTCACTTGTTAGTTATTTGGAAAATACTTACTTTTTGAAAAATACTAAGTTTGAAAGTAATTTTCCTGAAAATGTTGAAATAATTACCTAAGCTTCGCGGAATACAATTTAAGAAACGCTGCTTTAAAGTATCTAGCGCAGGGATAGTCTAGCGGCTAGACTAAAATCACTTTACTATAAACTCCAGTCAGTTGTACCGTAGGTGTTCCACTAGATAACTATGTCGGCGGACATTCGCTTGACGAAAGTTAACGAATACCGAACAGTAGCGTTGCAGCTGACATTTGAGTGATCCACACACGCGGGGGGTAGACCGACAGGGAGAGTGCAGTAAGTGGCCGTATCCACCCCGGGGACCTTGCAGAAACGTTAGGATCGGGCCTCGAGCTGCGCTTGTTACACCTGACGCGTTTCCCGAAGGCGCATCGCACAATCGTTAACGGGCGGCCAAGGACGAAGGGAGCGAATGCAAAAAATATCGCGATCGGACGGGTTCCGAACGCGGTGGCCAGCGGCGGCTGCGAAAACCGCTGGGGCCCTCGGTCCGTCCCCGCGCGCGCGGTCACGCGTTACGCAACGGTACCGATAACGTTGTCCGCTTGTTCGCAGCACACTTGTTTCTCCAACTCGCGGGACTCGTTGACGCCCGCGTACACCAACCGAAGTGGTTACCTTCCGGGCGGCGTGGCCAGCTCGGACTCGGACATCGCTGCCAAGGCGGGCGGCGGCCGTTCGTCGTCCGGGCAGCCCCGACCGAGCCGGGTGAACTTCGACGGCGCCGGCACGGGCGTTTGCGGCGGCAGTGGCGGCGGCGGTGGCAGCGGCGGCGGCGGTGGTAGTGGCGGTGGTGGCGGCGGTGGAGGTGGTGGCGGTCTCGTAGGCGCTTCGGCGACCGCGGCGGCCGCGGCGGCCGGCAGCGGCGGCTCCGGGAACGCCGGCGGTGGAGGCACGGCCGGAGGAGGCACGAGCGGTCGCGCGTCGTACAACAACGCGCGCGGTTCCATATGCTTCGACGGTGGCCGTCAGAAAAACGGCGGCACGCGGCAGTACCGGGACCGGACGTCCGACCGCGTCAAGGGCATCCGGTGGTCATTCGTGTTCGACCCTGCCGGCCAGCTGTGCTACTACTGGAACATGGTCGTCTCGCTGGCGTTTCTCTACAACTTCTGGGTGATCATCTACCGATTCGCGTTCAGTGAGATCAACCGTAAGTACGCGCCGCTAATTCGCCGATTCGGCGTGCGTGGTAACGGGAGTGGAAGGGGTTGAGGGACGAAACCTACTCAAAAGCTGTCCGAGCAGTGCCGCGTTAAGCTATGTGTAGCCGCCCTTATGAAGATTACAGTTGAAAATTCTGTAGACCACACTATTAATTACGGTCAGTAGCGTATATCAACGGGTATTATAGAAGTGTAAGAGTAATAAATTTACAAATTACCAAAATCTATATTATGTATACTTTAGGTAACACACTATTATTCGTGATTAAATTTTATAATTATTAATTATACCTCACGTATAATATTATTATATACTCGTAATTATTATATTAATTATTATATAATATTATTATTATTATTATAATATAACGTATAAAATTCATATCAAAATAAAATATTTAAATGTAGTAATCAATTACTCTATCTGTATTTTGTACAATATCCACTAAAAACTTATTCTATGGTGTATACTGAATTTAACGCACTACAAATACTAAAATATCACAAAATATAAAAGTATTAATCTTCAGCAGAAATCTTCCAATCAAGAGTTTAAATTAATACCCATTTTAAATCCTCTATGAATGTTATTAAATTAACTCGTACAAAAAAAAAAAATAAATAAATAAAATAAAATAAAAAGATTATCTAACGCAAATTTTTTATTACAATAATGCTCTTTTTCAAATATTGATGCGACTTGTATTTGGATCTGACATGGAATTCATCATGTCTATAAAGAAACGAAATACTCTATTGTACATCATGATCGAGTTCACTTCTAGTGTCAAATTATTGTCAACACATTTAAATTCGATCTAACCATTCGTTATGTTTGTCTCAAATAACGTTATAGATGTAATCCTCCTAGAAAAAGTTAGAATAACATAAAATATTATCGTCTAGAAACATTATCCATACATCAATAATTATTAAACATGTTTTTCTCGGTTTTCGTCAGTACATTTGATGTTTGAATTCTACGGTATATTGAGTTATACAACAAGAGCTGTTCATATCGTGTTGATTTCATTCATTGTAGTTAAATCAAAACTTTATTGCTATTAAATTAATAGTAAGTACACAACTTTTACACAAAAGGTAATTTAGGTATTTAATATTTAAATAGTGTATTTTTATTTTAAATCAGAGCATTAGATAGCTATTTAGCCTACACTAACTTTCAGATAATTTTATAGTTTTATCTTCACTATCGTGTTACAGTCACTCGATTCGAGTGGATAAGAGAATCGACCCTTTTATCATCCTTTTTGCCCACACATGCCTTGGGCATACCACAGTCGGTATCGTCATAATGTCGCGTTTCCGAAAAGGAATTTCACAAATGTTGCACAACGATAGGAGCGGACGCAGAAACAAATTTCGGAGGGGGGGAAATAAAAATAATTACCGTCAGGCTCGTATTTAAAAATTTGGCGCCTCGGGTATATTATTTATGCCCCACCCCCAAAAAAAAAAAAAAATAAATAATAATAATATAACACTTATTATTTCGTCCATAATCGAGATTCTTTAATATTAAAATATAACTTATAAATTAAAATTGTTTAATACTTTTTTTAATTAACAAACTAAATAAAGTATAACATAATAAAACATACTATTTTCTTTTTTCTTTTTTTCTTTTGTTTTTTTATTTGGTACATCATTTTTAAAATTAATTTTGCTAAAATATTTTGCCGTCCCTGAGACTTGACGCCCTCGGACATGTGCCTACCCGTACAACCTCTAAATACGGGTCTGATTACCGTTATTTTGAAATAATTGACTATTTACTATAGATTGACTATTGTCGATCGTTATCACATGACCGTACAACACAAAATTTAGGGAAACCCGTCAATCATAATGTACCATTGTAAATAATATTATATCGATTATGTATATTTACTTATTTTTACTTATTAATAATAAGTGACTTACAAATACACATTATTTTCACGAAGTATTGCCATCATGGAATTTCAAAAATTAGAGTTTTAAATACAAATACCTTTTAGAACGTTTGGAAAATCACAAATTATTAAAAATTCACTTTTCTTAACAAAATATTTTTTTTTCTAGCATATTTTAATTGTATTTTGAACAATTCATTTTTTTTAAAGTATATAAGATAGGATAACTACGTTTGAAATTAATCATCCATTCATTTCGGGGAAGGTTTGAACCCCCCTAAACCTCTCCCTCCACTACACAACAATATTGACACACTTTAGACACGACGCGGACATCGAAAATAACTTTCAGTAATTTCCGATGTCGATATCAAATACATGTACTTGGAAACATATCGAGTTATATTCATAGACTTTACAGTAAATTAAGTCGTTTAAAAGTCTTCAGCTAATTTATTAATCTATTTAGACCAAGGGTCGCCAATCTTTTCAAACAAATGAGCTACATTTTAAATTTTAAGTCCCTGGTGACCAACATCAATGAGAATTAAGGTATTTAGAATGAGATTTGTTTGATGAACAAAAAAAAAAGGTACATTGAATACTCCAAAGAATAATTAAAATATTTATTGTTCTTTCATAATCATAATCTAATATTCCCATTATCCGACTATTTATCACGCGATCGACTGACAGTAGAAAAATAAACTTTTATAACGCTCGATCTATATTCCTAGAAAGATTGACTGGTTGGCGACCTCTTTAGATTAAACAATGAGATTTTTAATATTATTTTTCAAAAACGTCTATTGAAATTACTTTAATAAGAATTCGAACTGATTTTCATAATTTAAAACGAATGTGCACTAGAATCATTGAGATCACAATAATCTGTACTAGTAAATTAATATTATCATAGATTATACAATGAAATGGAACATGATGAGGAGTAAAATGTATGTATATATATATGCGTTACGCGTAGGTATATACCATGGTAATGCAGTGGTGTATAACATTATAAAGCGCGTACGACGACAACATTAAATCAAAAGCGTGAGCGTGATTGTTATATGCGACACATTGCCGATTGCAATAATGGAGGTCATCGAATTCTGTTTCTTACATGACTTACAGGGAAGTGCCAACTACAAAATATTCATATTTTGTTTGTACTTTTATGTTTAATAATAATAAAATAAAATAACTTTTCGTAATTTTTGAAATATTTGAAGATGACCGTATTACGGATGTTTATAGTTCAGAAAACGTTGACGTTCCAACTTTGTACTTTCACAACCCACATGGTATTTTAATATTTTATTATTTTAGTTAACAGGAACAAAAATTTCATTAAACATATTAGTTTTTTAAACTGTCGTTTGTGGTTGTTATTAAATACTATTAGTCGTTATGCCCCGTTGAATAATAAACGATTTTTCTGAAAGGAAAAAAATAAAATTTTTAAATCACGAGGGAAATAGAAATAGAAAGTTGAAACATCAACATTTTCCAGGGGAATAGAATTTAAATCGAAATAAAGAAACATGAATTTTATCGCAGTCGTTATGACCGCAACTGCCAAACGGAATTCGATTACGTCTGGACAGTGCCTCGTAATGTCGATATCGTTAAGCGATGGATGGGGGGGGGGGTAGCTTTAGTACGCATATTATGGTAACGCATGGTACTTACTTAATGGTACGCATATTATGGTGGTGGGACACCCTATGCATGGTAACATGTGACCATCGTGATTATCATCCGTGGTCGTTGGTAACGGTTGGTTGGCCCACAGGTAACACGATTGTGGTGTGGTTCTGCCTGGACTACCTGTGTGACCTGCTGTACGTGATCGACATACTGTTCCACTTCCGGACCGGGTACCTGGAGGACGGTGTGCTGCAGACGGACGCGGCCAAGCTGCGGAACCACTACATGAACTCGACTACGTTCTACATCGACTGCCTGTGCTTGCTGCCGCTGGACTTCCTGTACCTGTCCATCGGGTTCAACTCGATACTCCGATCGTTCCGCATTGTTAAGATCTACCGGTTCTGGGCGTTCATGGACCGCACCGAGCGGCACACCAACTACCCGAACCTGATCCGCTCCGGCAGCCTGATCCACTACCTGCTGGTGATATTCCACTGGAACGGGTGCCTGTACCACATCATCTACAAGAACAACGGGTTCGGCAGCAAGAACTGGGTGTACACGGGCTCGGATGCCGAGGAGACGGACACGGTGAAGCGGTACCTGCAGAGCTATTACTGGTGCACGCTGGCGCTGACCACCATCGGCGACCTGCCCAAGCCGCGCAGCAACGGCGAGTACGCGTTCGTCATATGCCAGCTGCTATTCGGGCTGCTGCTGTTTGCCACCGTGCTCGGCCACGTGGCCAGCATAGTGGTCAGTGTGAGCGCTGGCCGCAAGGAGTTCCAAGGTGAGTGGACGTTCCACCCGTCGTCCGCGCGGCAAGCGATCGCGTCGTCGCTATTTCGAACGGCGTTCGTCGATTGTCGCGGGGGCGCAAAAATCGAGTCAGTGGTTGGGGGATGGAGTAAAAATCATTCTCCTCGATTTCGTAAGTGGATGAGAAATCGATTTGTAAACAACAACGAGTATCAACGCACTTGTATTATAATTTATGTTACGCGAGTGCGGCGACCAATTTTTCTTCGCGTGTGTGAATTGAATATTTTTATTTTGCCCCCACCCCTCATAATTCCAACTATTTTGCGTCCTTGGTCTACCCTAGAGGCGTATCGGAAACTTATTTAAAGAGAAGGGGTGATATAGGAATATTCTTACTGTTATTTATTACCATGAAACATGCTAAAAATATTCAATTTATAAATCTGTAATGGACATAGTTTATTGTTCGACTTAGTGTTAGGATTTCCGGGCATCGGGTTGAATCGGTTTTTTTTCTCTTACTTTTGCGTGATCGGAAATAACATTATCGTAACGATTGTGTTGCCAGTTTCTAGTACACAGTCTCATGACTCGCGTCTGATTCGAAACGAAACGATTTGTTGTTAATCAAATCCAACAGACCAAATTTTCACGTGTAAATTAGTGGTTTTCAGCACACAGGCAAATCAATACGATCGACCAACCGGCCTGACAATCGTAAACACGTGTGTATCAATGTGGTGTAAAAATTGATTAAATCAAGAATCATCGATTTGAGACTCCTTCCTTGATTTTCATGGCCCAACACTCTGAAATCACACTTATACCTCTAAACCCTAGACGTACAACTATGATGTCGGTTGATTAATCGACGAACAAATCGTTTCTATCTATGAATTACTAGCGATGTTTGACGATTTATCGGCCGAGTTCTCGAAACTGACAACAAATCGTTTCGCATACAAGGCGGTTAAATTTTTTTTTTTATTATTGCGTTTCAACAAAATACCGTTTGTGGCCGTCGCCAGCACAATCGCACAAATAATATTATGCACCATAGATTTTAATTGGCGTGGTGTTTTATCTGTCATTTTACTGTCATTTTACCGAATATTCGAGTGGAGAACGAAGAACGACTCATAGGGTACATTTTTACATTTATTTCAAACATATAAAAATAATACAGTTCCTTGAATTAATCGTTGTGGTTTTGATGTGTTAAGGTTAGTAGACAATACTAATGTTAATGTTACATGATACCTAAATAGTATTTGTTTAAAATACGTTTAAGCACAAAAGCGCTCAAGTCGTAGAATGAATATATTTTAACTAAAAAACTTTACAACTTTATTATTTATGCTGTTTAAGGGAGAAACGATGGCTCATGCTCAAATCTCAATATTTTTATAAATTAACTAAAAAATATTATTATTTAGCAATGACCTAAGCGACAAAGCTATTATTTAGAACAAATTATGAGTATATGCAGAGTATATATTTTTCCAAACATTATTTTAAATTGATTAAATAGGATTTTACACTTCATTAATTATTCACTTATACCTAACCATCTAGATTTTGTTTAATCATCAACTTGGAATTTTTCTGTAATTTATATTGTTACGGTATTTAATTATTATACTTTGTATATACCTGCACGTTTCCTAATCAAAAAGTTTTTCCTTGTTAAACGAAGTTTTATTATTCAAATAAAAATTCTGTTCAACGACTTCAACTTTTAAAACAACTTTCACATTTTTTGAATTTATCTTAATTACCTACACATTGTATGCAAATTAATTTTTTTTTAATATAAAGATACAAAAATATTCCCGTAGACCTGATAAAACTAATTTATGATAAGTTTTAAATTTAAATACATTGACTATATGTAAATTATAAACAATATTTGGTCCCATAAAATATAGTTCCAATGAAAGCATTATTATTTCCCTAAATCCTCTAAATTTTTAAATTATATTTTATAATAATGGATAGTGTAATATTAATACCTTAATATTGGTTAACGCAATAAATAATTTACTTATCAGCGTAGATCTATAACAAATAATGAAAAAAAATTTTTATTCGTATTAAAAATATAAATCAGAAGAGACTTAAATTTAAATAAATATTAAGTTTTTATGATTAATTCTCGTTATACAAAGTGTATAGGTACCCTATTAAAAAACGATACATATATATTGGTGTCCATTATGTGAGGCTAAGTAATGATCTTCGTCACAAAAACGCATTATAAAAGTTGAGGCTTAATGGCCCGCAAAAAGGTTTCCAAGAGCTTTTAATCATTTTCGTATTTTCAACCAGGCTAATTATAAATTTTTTTTTCCACCAAATAAAACGCTTGAAAAATTATAAATCCATAAATACGCATTTTAAAACAGAAGTAATAATAATAATAATAATTTTTCACAAAATTTCTAATTAAAGAAATATCTGCAGTGATAAATGTGAAAAAAGTATACCAACAATTAAATATTAAACATGTTAAAGTAGTTGATGGTATGCAATGGAAAATAATCTATTAAATTGCATAAATACACATGTATACCACATAGCCCTACAATGTTGTAAAATATTTGATTTTCTAAGGTAATCTCCCATGGACTACTTCCAATATGTGAATTAGTTTTCAAGTTATCTTTTATGGTACGTGTTTACAATGAATAATAATTAATACAACCATACTGAATTAATTTGCATAACATTAAATTTGGCAACAAACGAAAAACAATTTATTTAGTAAACATGTGTTGTAACTAGCCACTACCAATATTTGGTAGGATCAGTGGTTAACGAAGGGACTCTTATACATTATAAGGGTTTCTTTATACAAAAACAATTAAAGATTTCCAGACAACAGCCACTCAAGTAGCTATGTCGACTGGTCAAGGGGACCTTGCCCAGTGTCTGACATTGATGAAACTGTCCAACAAAAACTTTCGGGTCAGAGACACTAGTATCAGTACATTAACGGGCATTTAGTCTTATTTCGATAATTTAAAACCCATTGACTTTTTTATTTTACCAAATAAATATTATAATGAATACATTTTTTTTCAATATTCATTAACTTGAGTTGTACTATGAGACATACTTGTTATTTTGCGATTTTCAAGAACGTTATAACAAAGAGTAAATGTTATCAATCCATTAAATGCATTTTTATTTTATTTATTTTTTTTTTCTATAAATATTTTTTTATTTTAATTAAAATTTATAAATTTAAGAGTATTACGATATTTATTTAATAGTAATAAATAAAATAAAAACATATATATTTATTTATTTATTTTATTTTATTTTAAATTGAGTATTTCATATTTATTTTCAGTCATAATATGTATAATTTACTGATCTTATTTCAAATTGATTTAATCTGCTCTGATCAAGATTAAATATTTTATAGTAACCATATTCAATTTTAAGTATACATTTAATATTTTGATATCAAGCTTCTTTTGCATTTTAGATATAATAAATATAAAATTTATCTGAAATGTGAACTTAATTCTCAAAATATCCAATAATTTAAAAAATATAAAAATACTTCGGTTAACATAATTTTATATAATTAAACATATTAATTGCCTAAATTATTCTCAACTTAATATTGAAGTCGTTCTTACATTTTATAGATATTTAATATTCCAACCGAAGAACACGTATCCCAATATTTAGGTGAAGAGGATTTGAAATCTTTTTTATAGATTCAAATCTATTAAAGCTTTCAAAGTCTGACTTATGCTTTTGTGCATACCAAATATTATAGAATCCTCCATTATGAGACTAAGTACACTCTGGTCACTGAATGTGAGAAAAAATTACTGAACTTAGGTACATTCACCGCATCCTTACAGTTATTATTATTATTGTTCATAAGATTGTTATTTCCAATGATAGTATATATTATTTTGTTGAACTTAGAGCCTAATATAAAGATAGTAAATCAAAACCCAAATTTAATATATCTATAATAGCATATAGATATAATATAAAGCTTTTTTGGGCTTAAATTATAAGCTTAAATTAACAAGATTAAACGATATCGGGTCGTATTGAATTAACAGCCATATACGATACATTCTATTTACGAAACAACCATTTTATAAAGGTATAAAGGTATTTAATAATAATTCACGTTCTGATTTTATTCAGTACATTAATACCTATTTTTATGGAAAATACTTGATCAATGAATATAGTCTACATGTCTTTTGATTGGTCTTTAAAATATATGTGATTCTAGGTGCGATGGGCGGGGAAGAAAAAGTAATAATCAAAATTAAAAATTGATTTCCAGTGAATATAATATATTTTCATCTAATATCTAACAATACCAATAGTTAATACACGCTACGATTACTTTTCACGTCTCTGTACCCCGAGTGATATACGTTATTCACATTCGTCAAAATAAGCGTTTGAAAAATTTAGGTATATTACAGGTACCCTCAACGACTTATTTTGGTGAATTTTTAATTTTTTTTTTTTTAATGATTTCAATAGTGTTACGTATTGTTTTTTTGTTATTCCGAAAACGTGACGTGCACGTATCTACAGTCAAGGTGGGCCATGGATTTAATAACACAGCCTCTATAATAAATATCCGTTTCAATCCGTTCAGGTTTATACCATACGAGTATACATGTATTACGTAGTAAAACTAGATTAATTCATCGGTGCGACCTACGAGGGTTATGTTATATAGTTATCGAGATGGTGGGTACATAGCCAGTTAGTAAATGGGACGGTGCTACGGAGGATTGGTATTTGCGCCAGCAACGCGTTTTCAAACATTAAGGAAAAACCTTTGCAGAATTTATCGATTTCGTCTTTTGTCTCCCTCTACCCCGCCTACTTACTTCTCCACTGGTCCAAGAGACATTTTTAAATTTACGTGTACACTGCGAGCGCAACTCAGGGACTAAAATGTTCGATTTTTTATACTGCACACTAAATTTATAATAAATGTTTGTAGCCCGTGACGTAATCTGCAGTTGTACA